GCACCAGTCCCTCCTGCAGCAAAGCACCCCCACAGCATGATGTTGCCACCCCAGTGCTTCACGGTTGGGTGTTCTTCGGCTTGCAAGCATACCCCTTTTTCCTCCAAACATAACGATGGTCATTATGGCCAAACAGTTCTATTTTTGTTTCATCAGACCAGAGGACATTTCTCAAAAAAGTACGATCTTTGTCCCCATGTGCAGTTGCAAACCGTAGTCTGGCTTTTTTATGGCGGTTTTGGAGCAGTGGCTTCTTCCTTGCTGAGCGGCCTTTCAGGTTATGTCGATATAGGACTCGTTTTACTGTGGATATAGATACTTTTGTATCTGTTTCCTCCAGCATCTTCACAAGGTCCTTTGCTGTTGTTCTGGGATTGATTTGCACTTTTCACACCAAAGTACATTCATCTCTAGGAGACAGAACACATCTCCTTCCTGAGCGGTGTGACGGCTGCGTGGTCCCATGGTGTTTATACTTGCTTACTATTGTTTGTACAGATGAACGTGGTACCTTCAGGCGTTTGGAAATTGCTCCCAAGGATGAACCAGACTTGTGGAGGTCTACCATTTCTTTTGAGGTCTTGGCTGATTTCTTTTGATTTTCCCATGATGTCAAGCAAAGAGGCACTGAGTTTGAAGGTAGGCCTTGAAATACATCCACAGATACACCTCCAATTGACTCAAATGATGTCAATTAGCCTATCAGAAGCTTCTAAAGCCATGAGATCATTTTCTGGAATTCTCCAAGCTATTTAAAGGCACAGTCAACTTAGTGTATGTAAACTTCTGACCCACTGGAATTGTGATACAGTGAATTATAAGTGAAATAATCTGTCTGCAAACAATTGTTGGAAAAATTACTTGTGTCATGCACAAAGTAGATGTCCTAACCGACTTGCCAAAACTATAGTTTGCTAGCAAGAAATGTGTGGAGTGGTTGAAAAACAAGATACAATGACTCCAACCTAAGTGTATGTAAACTTCCGACTTCAACTGTATCTATGAAAAGCTGAGACTCTCACGAACACGCAGTTGTTTTGCTCTATGACGCTCACAAGCTACACAATAGTCTTTAGAAGGTAAAGGGTTCTTCTACATAGAAGATCATAGGAAACCCCAGGACATAGTGTCTATAATACTGTAATAAGATCACATAGTTGCTGTCACAAACTCCACACAGTTGTCTCTGACTAGTTGGATATTAATTTCCCACTGAGCAAACAATTTCTGTACTTACAGCCTTCAGAAAGTATTCATACCCCTTTACCTATTCCACATTTTGTTGTGTTACAGCCTTTGATTAAATATATTATTCTCACCAATCTATACACAATACCCCATAATGACAAAGTGAAAACGTGTTTTTAGAAAATTGTGCTAATTTATTGAAAATTGACATAAGTATTCACACCCCTGAGTCAATACCTGTTAGAATCACCTTTGTCAGCGATTACAGCTGTGAGTCTTTCTGGGTAAGACTCTAAGAGCATTGCACATCTGGATTGTACAATATCTGCACATTATTCTTTAAAAAATTCTTCAAGCTCTGTCAAGTTGGTTGTTGATCATTGCTAGACAGCCATTTTCAAGTCTTGCCATGGATTTTCAAGCCAATTTTTGTCAAAACTGTAACTAGGCCACTCAGGAACATTCAATGTTGTCTTGGTAAGCAACTCCAGTGTATATTTAAGTGATAATGCCCGAGAAGCCGGTGTTTGGAGGATATACCCTCCAAAACACCGGCTTCGAGGGCATTATCACTTTTATACAACGGGTTACCAACATATTCAAATAATGAGTGACGTATTTTCATTATTTTTATTTTTATGAATTTATTCCTACTATTTCATTCTTCCACGAGATATAGTCCTGACACAAATCTAAGGTTGCTACCCAAGCCGGCTGGTAATTCGTTCTATCGGTTTGGTTGCCAGAGATGCATTAAGTATTTTTATTCTGTATCTATGGGCCCAGTCGTTCGTTCTAAATGTTCCATTGCCATACTGGCTGGCAGCGTTCTTATCCCTTGCTTAATAGCTAGCCAACTACAGCTAACATACGTTCACGTCAAACAGTGCAGCCAGAATAACAGCAAAGTAACTGCATTTGCGTTTGTTTTAGCTGTTTTCTAGTGACATTTATTTGGATACATCCATAACAATGAGTTAATGCGCGATTTCGCAAGGCATAGAAAATGTGCTCTCTCGTCAGGAGGAGCTAGCCACCAACACAGCTAACACAATAACTTCAACTTGAAACTGGAAAGACTGCAAACTAGCTGCATTACGTTTTACCTGTTTTCTATTGACATTTATTTATATATATCCATGAAAATTGTGGCAGCTGATTCATGATTTCAACTGGCTTAGAAAAGCTGTCTGCCTGTCTGTCTCATCCCGATACGTTCATTACTATGGGACAGCTGGAGATTGAATTTCAATATTGAAAAAAACGCTGCAAATGTCGGAGACAGAAAATCAAATGCTAGTCTAAAAGAAATGGGAGACAATGTCTAGATACTTTTTATAGTGGAGATCAAGTTTATAAGTTGCCTGGCTGGGCTGATGAGACAGTGGATTGCGCAATCAGATGGAACAGTGTAAATAGGCATTTCAACATCATAGTTTTAGCCGTGGTAACTTGTGGAATAGACACCGGCTGGAATGCAGTTTTAACCAATCAGCATCCAGGATTAGACCCACCCGTTGTATAATTGGTCTTGTGTTTTAGGTTATTCTCCTGCTGAAAGGTGAATTTGTCTCCCAGTGTGTCACGCCCTGACTCAGGGGACGCTTATATGTTGAGTCAGGGTGTGTATATTCCTTGTTGTGCTTGTTCTATGTATGAGGATCTAGTATGTCTAGTTCTATGTTGGCCGGTGTGGTTCCCAATCAGAGGCAGCTGTCGCTCGTTGTCTCTGATTGGGGACCATACTTAAGCAGCCTATTGGCACTGTCTAGTTGTGGGATCTTGTTCCGGTTAAGGTTTGTTGTATTCTACCTTAGGACTTCACGTTTCGTTTCGTTTCTTGTTTTGTCGTGTGTTTATTTAGTTGAATAAACATGTACGTATATCACACTGTGCCTTGGTCTGTCCCGTCATTCAACGAACGTGACACAGTGTCTGGTCGAAAGCAGACTGAACCAAGTTTTCCTCTAGGATTTTGCCTGTGCTTAGCTCTATTCCGTTTCTTTTTATCCAAAAAAAACTCCTTAGTCCTTTCCAATGACAAGCATACCCATAACATGATGCAGCCACCACCATGCTTGAAAATATGAAGAGTGGTACTCAGTGATGTGTTGTGTTGGATTTGCCCCAAGCATAACACTTTGTATTCAGGAAATAAAGTTAATTCTTTGCCACATTTTTTGCAGTTTTACTTTAGTACCTTATTGCAAACAGGATGCATGTTTTGGAATATTTGTATTATGTACTGGCTTCCTTCTTTTCACTCTGTCATTTAGGTTTGTATTGTGGAGTAACTACATTGTTGTTGATCCATTCTCAGTTCTCTTATCACAGCCATTAAACTCTGTAACTGTTTTAAAGTCACTATTAGCCTCATGGTGAAATCCCTGAGTGGTTTTGCTTCCTCTTCGACAACTGAGTTTGGAAGGATGCCTGTATCTTTGTAGTGACTGGGTGTATTGATACATCATCTAAAGTGTAATGAATAACTTCACCATGCTCAAAGGGATATTCAATGTCCCAATAGATGCCTTTCTTTGCGAGGCATTGGAAAACCTCCCTGGTATTTGTGGTTGAATCTGTTTTTGAAATTATCTTCTCCACTGAGGGACCTTACAGATAATTGTATGTGTGGGGTACAGAAATGAGGTAGTCATTCAAAAATAATGTTATACACTATTATTGCACACAGAGTGAGTCCATGCAACTTATTATGTGACCTATTGACTCAAGACATTTCAGCTTTTTATATTTAATTAATTAAATATAGATATTTCAAAAAACATAATTCCACTTTGACATTATGGGGTATTGTGTGTTGGCCAATGACACAACATCTGCATTTTAATCAATTTTAAATTCAGGCTTTAACGCAACAAAATGTGGAAAAAGTCAAGGGGTGTGAATACTTTCTGAAGGCACTATAAATTCATTTTGATCAGGTTTTTGCTTTGGTGGACCTAAAAAAAATCATGAATGCAACTGTTAATCTCAAATTGTTTTGTTTTCTTCTTGTATCCCTGGTTGTCCTGAAAATAAAATTTTAAAACACTTCATTGTGAGGCTAATTATAAGGGCTGGACATGCAGATAAATGAAAGTCAGATAAATGAAAAGCCAGTTTTTTGTTGGGGGTCTCGGGACTGAAAACAGTGTGTGTGTGACATTTGTCTACGAAGCTACATCTACACTATCAATGGAAGTAAAAGAAAATAGTCCAGATTTACACATATACCCTTTGGTAACCCACGGACTCTGCAGTGCAAGGTTTATGTAGCCCTGGTAATAATAGATTCATGGAGTGCGTCCTTTATTTGCCCATTCATCTAGGAGACATTGATGCCTTAGTAATACCACACAGGCTAAGGCTTGGGTAATGAGGTACACAAGGCTTAAACAAACAGGGATACAAGCATTCAGTCGTTTTAAAGCCAGGTACATCTCTGGACGTTGCAGTCTTTACGCAGTGTGTGGCATGAGCTCTCATGTTGGATATAACTGAAGACAAGCTTGGGTAAACCCAAACAAACAATTGTAAAGCTTTTCAAAAACGTAGCTTTAGATACACGGAAGATGCGCCCAGGTGAGAGAGGCTCTCCCGTGGAGACCTGAGGGATGAGACGAGAGAAAGACATCCAGGTGACCTTTGGGGCTGTGACAATATGAATGGGAATAATAACTTCACCTTGTGTCTCGGACTCTTATAAGAGGATCCTGCTCCCGCTGACCTACAGCCTGGTGTTTGTTGTGGGTCTGACCCTGAATGGAGCACTGCTGTGGGTGGTGTGCTTCCGGACCCGGACCTGGATCTGCTCAGTCATCTACCTGACCAACCTGGCCGTGGCTGACCTGCTGTACGTGCTGTCCTTGCCGCTCCTCATCGTCAGCTACGCCATGGACGACGTACGGCCCTTCGGCGACATCATCTGCAAAGCCATCAGATTCTTCTTCTATACGTACCTCCACTGCAGCATGATGTTCCTCATATGCATCAGCATTCACCGGTTCCTCGGTGTGTGCTACCCGATTACTGCGCTCCGGTTCAGGACAAAAAACCTGGCTGTTTTGACGTCTAGCTTGGTTTGGGTCCTGGTGACGCTGGAGATATCACCAACCCTTGTGTTTGCCCTTACCGGGTAAAATCAACAACATGACATGTTATGACATGTTTCTGGACGTGGTTGGATTCCTGGTACCTTTCCATTTCACAAACAACAAATTACAGAACTCATAACAATACCAAATCAAACACCTTCAATATATTACTGACACTTAAATGTATTGCAATTTACATACACATTTCTCAGTCACATACCAATAAAGGCAATGGCTGTATTCAGTCATGAAGGTAATATTCTCACCTGTAGGCATGTGCAACAAAGGGTAGTCCATTCAAACTCAGAGGTACTCTAACATTGACTTTCATATTGTATCTCAGATCAATAGTGCCCTCTGTTGTTGACACAGTTGAAAACCATATCCACATTGCAAAAAAACAAACACTTCCCACTTACAGGGCATGGAAAACATACACATTATTACACCAAATAAATGTAGTACTTTCAAGATACAAACATAGTTACTATGTATATAGTAGCTCTTTTACACTATCAAATGTAATTTAGTGATTAGCTTTGCAACGGTAATAAATACACAAAAGGCACGAGTGTAGCTTCATAGCAACATATACAAAATACAGCAATAGGTTATCAGTTCCACATCAGTAAAAAACCTGAAAGAACATTGTAGTGGAGGATATTTTGTACCTTTTGTCTAGAGACATGGACACTGACTGGGTTTAGATGTTGAGGGGGTGGTGCAGAGTAGGCCGCATCACTTCAGTACACTTCTGTGTGCCAGTGAGGACAGGTGGGTACAGTAGTGATTTGAGAGCTGGAAGAAGGAGAAGGGAATTTAGCATCCATGTGCATACGGTGTTTGTGTGTGTGGTGTGTGTACCTGAGCTCCTAGTCTGGACAGGTAGCGGTTGCGCAGGCCAAAAGCAGACATAGGCCTGAGTTTGGCCAGCTTCTCCTCAGTCTGCTGACTGACCCTCTGACGCCTCTCAACTCTACAAGGACAGCAGGGGGAGTGGCATAATCATCATTGCAAGAATAAATCAAATACAAAATTGAGAATTCTGGGGCTGTTTTTACAAACTTTTATTTGCTGTCCTGAGACAATACTGTAGTATATAAAGTCAATTTGATCAGACAGAATGACAATCAGATCTGGCAAGGACACAATGGCCTGATAATGTTCTTTAACAAACACAGTGAACATCAGATATGTATCAGATATGTAACAAAAACATGCACTTTTTTTTTTTTTATCATTCATTTAAAATATTTAAAGTTATCTAAAAGTACAACATGTAGTTTGAGGTAATTTATTATTGCAATAGTTGTAAAATATGAATACACATGGTACCTCGACACCAGGGGTCTCCAACCCTGTTCCCTGAAGCCTTAACGTCCTCTAGGTTCATTCCAACCCTACTATATGACACCTGATTCTAATAATTAGCTGGATGATAAGCTGAACCAGGTTAGTTACAACTGGGGTTGGTGTGAAAATCTACAGGAGGGTAGCTCTCCAGGAACAGGGTTGGAGACCTTTGCTCTAGGCAGTAGTACCCATAGAACACATGTTATTTAGAGCTGTTAGAAGTTTGTTAGAGAGATCAACTCTAAACAGGCAGCACTCTCAGTGCAATTTACACAGAGACTATTCTGCAGCTAACAAAGACAAACAAACAGCCGTCACAACTTTAGTGGTATATGGATAGGCTTCCTCCACCACAATATTTGACCTAATACTATACTACGGAAAGCCCTTGGTTCAAGCTCAGGTTGTCCTGCAGAAAACTGATTCAGGGATAAATACTTTGAAGTGATCGTTCATTACAATAGAAAAACTATCAAAAGTGATTTTGACATTAGAATGATCGTTAGATTGTGGTTTTCAACATATGAAAGTGTCTCTTGGCAATTCCCTGATATTGATCAATAAACATCAACAAAACAAAGCATTTATCCTTTCATTCAGTTGTGGAGCAAAGAGGGTTTCCACCCAATTGCCAATGTTATAGTATTCTTAAAAGTTAACCTTCTTACACATAAGCCAGGTCATTTTCACGAAGGTCACTGTAAAACTGCTGCATTCAAAATTTGAGTTAAACGTTTTTTTTAAATGAACATAATTATACATTGGGTGAACGCTATCAAAAATGTTCCCCTTTAAATTCCTTTATCACTTTGACAAGGTCTGCCTTAGCCTTGATGGTGTGACAGAGTGTAACGTTTTACGAGCCTCTATGACCAGCCAAGAGATGGTGTGACAGAGTGTAAAGTTTTACGAGCCTCTATGACCAGCCAAGAGATGGTGTGACAGAGTGTAACGTTTTACGAGCCTCTATGACCAGCCAAGAGATGGTGTGACAGAGTGTAACGTTTTACGAGCCTCTATGACCAGCCAAGAGATGGTGTGACAGAGTGTAAAGTTTTACGAGCCTCTATGACCAGCCAAGAGATGGTGTGACAGAGTGTAACGTTTTACGAGCCTCTATGACCAGCCAAGAGATGGTGTGACAGAGTGTAACGTTTTACGAGCCTCTATGACCAGCCAAGAGATGGTGTGACAGAGTGTAACGTTTTACGAGCCTCTATGACCAGCCAAGAGATGGTGTGACAGAGTGTAAAGTTTTACGAGCCTCTATGACCAGCCAAGAGATGGTGTGACAGAGTGTAAAGTTTTACGAGCCTCTATGACCAGCCAAGAGATGGTGTGACAGAGTGTAACGTTTTACGAGCCTCTATGACCAGCCAAGAGATGGTGTGACAGAGTGTAACGTTTTACGAGCCTCTATGACCAGCCAAGAGATGGTGTGACAGAGTGTAAAGTTTTACGAGCCTCTATGACCAGCCAAGAGATGGTGTGACAGAGTGTAAAGTTTTACGAGCCTCTATGACCAGCCAAGAGATGGTGTGACAGAGTGTAAAGTTTTACGAGCCTCTATGACCAGCCAAGAGATGGTGTGACAGAGTGTAAAGTTTTACGAGCCTCTATGACCAGCCAAGAGATGGTGTGACAGAGTGTAAAGTTTTACGAGCCTCTATGACCAGCCAAGAGCAAAGAAAGGAATTTAATGAAGGAACGGCGCTATAAAGAATTGAACACAATGCAGATTCTGAAATCCTTCAGCATAAATCCGTCAAACTAGATGATGAATATATGATTACTATTCAGAATGACCTCACTGTAGGCAAAAGCCAGAAAAGGAGATGGGTTGGTTTTGTGTTGCTAATTTGATGACATTTTCATGATGATTGCACAGATTATTCATTTATGTGCGTATAGAAGTTATAAACACACCAACTGTTTGTTTTGATACATTTTTACTTCAAGTTTTGGATTAAAGTCCTTTCTGAACAATATTCATAAAAAAAAAACATACATAATGTCATAACATTGATGGACAATCTGTCATTTCTAACACCCTGGTTTTAGAGAGATGCTTAAAATATTTTTATAAGAACATTGAACCAGTTCACCTCTTATAGTGTGGGTGATTTTACTAAGCAATCAGGCACAACCACACGTGCATTATTGGTGAATAACTTTACATCTCTGAAGTAAAAGTCACTCAGCCTGGGGCCTTGTTCCACAGACATTTAAAAACCTTTTAGAAACAAAAGTCTGCTTAAAGTGCTTCCTGGTACCCCACTCTAATGACATTAAAGTGTGATTGGTGCTGAGGTTTGAGGTTCCAAAGCAAGTCATTAGCCAGCCCTGACACAGCCACAGGAGGGAGGAGTCAGTGAGGCGAGGAGGAGGAGTCGGTTTGTGATGTCAGAGCAGAAGGTTCAGCATTGTTGTTTTTTATTGCACTGCTTTGCTTTTTCTTGGCCAGTTCACAGTTGTAAATAAAAATAAATCTGAGCTGCGATGGGTCAGTATGTTGGTGGGAGGGGTCAGTTACAATGCAGGGCTAGGTCAGTGTACAGGTGGGAGGAGTCAGTAGTGGAGACACACCCCCTAGCAGGTGATTGACAGCTGTGGCCCAGGACTGTGTGCCCTCTCACCTGGAAAACAGCACAGCACAGGACAGGGTCAATGCGTTAGTCTGGGGTACTCCACAGACAGCCACACACACACCAACAGCCAACAAGAATGATAAATCTAGTCCTTCTCTACGGCCCTTGTTGAATTGTTGATAAGTGAAACATTAACTTTATCCTGTTTTTCACATCTGCATGGGCACGTCAACAAGGGCAGAGGGAAAGAGACAAGATTTTGGAGAGGTATTGGGCCAAGCAGTGACTCTACACACAAGAGCAGAAACACATGGACCACACTCAGGAACAGTGTGAGAGTTAGGAGAGCCAGAATTGGTTAAGGAGCAAGAACACCATACATGAAAACATTATGCAGATTGGGCACCAAATACACTCTTGATATAGACAAAGTCTAAATCCATCTTACTCAATCCAGAGCGGTCATATGATCTACTAAGCTTGCACATACATGTTAATTCAGAATGTTAACTACAAACCTCTGAAATGGCTTTTCTCAAATGTTTTCATTAAACCCACTTGTGATCATATATTGTAGAGGTTCTCTCTTACAACTTTCTCTGACCCTTCAGATAAGATTAGAGGTTGGGAACCCTAGTGAAGAATATCAGAATTGCAGGCTTTTCTTTTTAGTCCAGCACCAGTTGGATGTTTAATAATAGATTGATATTACATTGATAATAGGTCCTTGCCTTTCTCCTTATGAGTGGGTTGAGAACCTAACGTTCAGTGGCTCTTGTCTGTATTGAGTGTGAGAGGAGGGGGGTGAAAGGTCATGGATACTCACTCTGAATCGGAGCCCTTCAGGAGTTTGGCCCTGGCAGAGGCTGAGAGGTTCAGATTTCCTCCTGAAGAGAGAGAGGGAGTAATGGAAAGAGAGTGATATGGAGAGGAAAAGAGAGGGAGAAGGACAGAAAGAGACAGAAAGAGAAAGGGTGGGAGAGAGAACAGGAGAGGGATATCAAAGAGCATGGTTAGTGAGGATATCATAAGGCACGCTCCACTGTGAGTGGTGTAATGGTGTCAGGCGGGCAGGAGGCCAGCTCCCAGCTCTCTTACCTCGTAGATAATTAACAAAGTACAGCATCACTACTGCGATCAGTGCCACTGAGAGAGAGAGACAGAGAGAGAGAGACATTTATTGGTTGACTCAACACACACACAGAAGTGTTACTCACAGCAGACACAGGCGCTGAAGAAGACCTCCAGGAAGAGGTATCCCTTGTTGTCCAGAATAGATCCTGCTGCCATGGAGGTCAGAGCCAGGCCCAGGTTCTGGATGGACTGCATGCTGGGAGGTAAGAAGGCCATGCATCATCATCATCATCAACAACAACAACAGCATCATCACCACCACCACCACCATCATCATCAACAACAGCGTCATCAACAGCAGCATCATCATCACAAACAACAGCATCATCACCACCACCAACAACATCAACAATAACTACAACAGCATCATTAACAACAGCAGCAGCAGTATCATCATCATAGGCACAAATAATGATGGATAGAATGCAAAAGCCTGTAGGTATGAGGATGTTTTCTGGTTAGACAGAAGGGGTGGGTAGGAGCAGGTGTACTTACAAGCCATAGGCTGTCCCCAGCTGATGCTCTGGCACCACAAAGGCCACCATGGGCCACAGGGCACAGGCTAGCAGCGAGTAGGACACACCCAACAGGGACTGGAGGACACAGATACACAGTACCATTATCAATACTGTTACCAACACCATTCACTATATCTGGCTACCCAGTCACAATACAACTAAATTACTATATATATATATATATATATAAAACTAATTGAAAATTTGACTGCGTAACCTACTGGATAATCCAATCCTCCGGGAGCAGGATGTAATTGTCTTGCAGGACTAAACAAGTACCCAGTGATCCAAGGTTGCATGTCCAAATCTGGCCCAACGCTCATCACTGCATACACTAGGTTTCTAGTGAATATCCTACTAATGTCTCCAAGGTCATATTCTGCTGTGAACCACTCTGTACCGTTCTAACGGTAATAGAATGGAGAATAGTCATCACCATGGCGATCCAGGGGTTCCAGAAGGTGAAGGCGAGCATCATGTGGGCTATGAGCGTCGTGACGACGGCACACAGCACCCAGATCACGTTCTTCCCTATCCTGTCCACCATGAAGCCCAACACAGGGGAGGCTGGGGCCGAGATGATGTACACAATACTGGGAGAGAAGAGGGTGGAGAGAGGGACATGGACGGACAGAAGGAGAGGAATGGAGGAGGAGAAGAAGGAAGAGAAAAGGGAAAGGAACGAAGGGAGAAAGTGTGAGAAGGAGGTAGAGGCAAGAAGGGAGAGAGAGACACTTCCAATGTGTTGTGACAGTTCTTAGCTTGAGGTGAGGAGAGCTAAAACAAACCTCATTTGAAGAACTCCTAACTAAAAGCTGAGTGGCACAGGCCTCACTCCGTCCAAATTGAATCACGTCTTACTGAGTTACTCTGACTGGGGTAAAGTGTTGTGCATTACCTGTTGATTGCTCTTGCTTCAGGTGGTGAGAAGTTGAACTTTTCAATGAAGAAAACCCTGCAAGGGGAAGACAGAGGTGAGAAGGACAGTCAGTCACACCAGACCAGAGTGGTACAGAGTATCTCCATACTGTCATGACTCTCATGTGATGGTCCCACGTGAGAAGCCCAAGATCAGAATACAGAGAAGCAACAGTCTACATATCTCTCTCTCCCGTGGTCATTTTTATGAACACAGGAGGGATTTATGTGGCGGGTTTTATCCTAAATGGTTTGCGGCAAACGACTCCCTGTTGGTCCCAAGTATTGGTGATCGGAATGTCTCTGTGTTACAGGGACAGATTGCCGTCTAAAAACGCTAACATCAAAAGATTGGACATTGGAACATTGTGGTTGAGATCCAAATGTTTGGAATGGTCGGTGGGGATCTAAAGAATAATCATGTCATATTGTTTATTGATTTGTGATGTCATTAAGGATGGTTTTACTAAATAACTATCTCTGGAAGTGTACACATTTCAGTTATCAGGTTTGCATCTAAATGTTGTATAAAATATATGATTAAGTATGAGAATACGTTTGTGAAGATAGCAACGTGATTTTAGCCTTCTAAATGAGATAATCGTTTTTCATAGAAGCTTTATCCAGTCAGTAACCACGCCCAAGTGAGCACAGACATTGGGTCAGTGTGATGGAACGCCCCTTTTTACCCGAGCATAAAAAGCCTTGAAAAACTCTACAGACCAGGAAGCGTGGAACGGTGGCTACACGGCTTAAAATGGTTAGACCAGAAAGACCAGAAAACGTGAGACGTTAGTCCACACGTTTGAAATGGTGAGAAACTCTGAAAAACTCTCAATCTCTACAGAAGAAGCAGATAAACACACTAGACCTTATCATATCAGTCTGCAGCTGGCATGTATAGTCGTCTAGAGAACTTTCACTAAAGACAGGAGTTGGGAAGGACAATCCCTCTCCGACAACCATTGGTACATCTGAAGTATCTATTCTAACGAACACTCCATTCGAAGACAAGCCAAGTCTCACCGAAGTGGGATAGGACACTCAAACCCTTTTTGAGAAAGTGGTTCAACAGAGAGACGACAATCAAGGACAGCTACGCGTAAATATATACATTGCATTTCTTATCTGAATGAGCGGTGGTTATGGTGCTAAGTATTATGATTACTGTGAGCGTAGTTTCCAAATGTAACAACGATAGTTTGAATCTCTGTCTCTCCCTTCCACTATCTTTCTACTGACCCCTTCTTCCCCTAACCAAGCAGTCATGCTATTGTTAGTCCAGTCCACTAGGCACCTGTTTTCATTGTATTACGTTAGTAATCAGTAACCTATATCGTGTGTGTGGGTGTTTGTATTCTGTGTTATTATTTAGTTAGTAAATAAATAATTAAGCCAATTTGTGTATTGCTGATTCATCAATGAGGTTAGGGTTCTTGCAGATTCAAGGATTATGCAACGTTCAGAATGAGAGTGATGAGGTAATTATTTAATAAGTGACTGTTATCGATATAACATATATATATATATCTCTTCTAAGAGTTTAATTCGGGAGATGGTAACTCGTTAAACAACTTCTTCTGCGGTGCCCCAAATTCCTAATGAGTTCATTGTTACATGATGAAATTAATCGAGTAACAATTAAAACATAGTTAATTGATTTTATAAATAACAGTCATCACATTAATGTAAGTCACGTCACAACAAAACTATCACTGCAACATATCCCAGAAACACATTAAGCACATCCCTGCTCCTGTTTCTTTACTATAGGCATTCATCACAGCTCAATGTCAGACCAATGTACTCTTTATGCTTCTATGCAGGGCCTTTGGGAGCAACTGAGAGTCCCTCAGGCTGTTGTAGCGCGCACACACAGAACACCCACCATCCCTACCAGCCAGCTACCCAGACAGGTTGCACCTGCAAGCAGCTGAAGTCACGCAGCACCACAGGGATGGAGAACAAATTAAAACGTGCCGCCAGCGAGAGACACGAGAGAGAGAGGTAGAGAGAGAGAGCCAGAGCGAGCGCAGCGGAGGAGCGAGCGAGGAGATAGGGAGAGGAGAGGACGATAGCCGAGAGGAGCGCGAAGAGAGCGAGCGCGTAGAGAGAAGCAGAGAGCGAGAGAGGAGAGAGAGCAGAGAGAGAGAGAGAGCGAGAGAGCGAGAGAGAAGAGTAAAGCGGAGGAGCGCGATAGAGGCCGATAGAGAGATGAGCTCGGCGCAGCGATAGACACTCTAGCGACGTCGAGCTAGCGCGCTCTCACTAGCTCTCATCCGCACGTCTCTACTCCTCCGCTCTCTCTCGCGACACTACTCTCACTCTCACAGGTATAATAATTGAACAAGGCTATTCCAGGTCCCCTAGTACCCTTTATCTTTCCTACCCGCTCAGAGGACTAGATTACATGGTCTCCAGCTGTTAATACATATTTTAATCAGCGTGGGAGAAATCGCAATAAAGATTATATTTTAAAAGACTTTAACTAAAGATTATTTTCATCCGAGTTATTTTACATGATGGAAAATAGACATTGTGTTCGAGGGGATCGGCTTGAACAAGGGGCAGCACATACTCCCTCATCTACTTTCACCTTGCATCCCAAATAACTGCTTGTGATATAAAGCTGGCCATATTGGTGATGGTTTTGACTGATAAGACATGATGAGTGATGGTTGGTGTGCTACTCACTGTCCCAGTCCGATGAAGGGGAAGATGGCCACGTAGTAGCCCACACAGATGATGAAGATGAGCCACAGTGGGAAGGGGAAGTCCTTCACATCCGTCAGCTTGATCACTTCCCCTACACACATAGAACACATGTACAACACACAGAACCAGGAGTTGGAGGTTTCCCAGGTGGATAAAGAACTCCTTAATCAACTAAATTCATCAAGGCAAAATGAGAGACTAATGGTGACAGGTAACAGATCCGTAGAAGGAACCTACCCTCCACCACCTCCCTCCTCACACTAACGTTGTCAGAATACAGTGGGCATGATAACCATAGCGCATAGATAATGACCATCACCCTGTCAATGCCGTTGTTCAGCTCTGATTAGGACACACATCATCTGACGCGGTCACTGACTGCCATGTTAACTCACCGGTCCCTCCCTGTTCCTTGTTGAGGATCCTCTCAGCTCGCTTGTCCAGGTAGCCCAACACCAGAGCACAGACCAGAGAGAATATACAGGTCGCCCCAGCTGGAGGAGAGGGAGAGAGAGGGACAGAGATAAAAAGAGAAGGAGAAAGAGAGATAGATGGAGGGAGAAATAGAGTGAGTGAGTGAGTGAGTGAGTGAGTGAGTGAGTGAGAGAGAGAGAAAAAGCGAGAGGGTGAGGAGGGGATAAGGGAGACAGAGACAGGAAATCATTACATCAGCTATGAACAGGTAGGTGTGTGTCTCATGAACCCACAGCAGGACCACAGGGTAAGTCCTCATGAGAAGAGCGTGGGAAGGATCTGTAAAGCCCTGTGTAGTTCAGTCTAAATAAACATGACTGCTTCCTTAGGCCCAACAGTCAGAGTAATTAGATAACTAAGTAGCTCAAAGTTTTAATTTGGATTCTGTGTCGAGAGCAGTTGCCGGAATGCTTTCGATTTCTTGGGGGTGGTCAATTGTTTGATTTGTCTCTTGAACTAAACCTCTATATCACACTCTCTCACTCACGTCGCATCCCACCCTCTACAGCAGAGGGGTCTGTGGGTCATCAAATATCCTCTATTAACCAGGTAAAATGTCAATAAGTATGTGGCAAAATGCAGTAGGCTTTGGTTTGAATTAACAGTAGGGTATGGACATATTAGAGCCATCTCTCAGGCTTAATGTTCCTCTGCTCTGTGGAGAGTAGAACGCTTGAATAGTTTCTGTAAAGCATCAGCACATATCTACTGGGACTCCATTATTCCATTATAATGTTACAGGACTGCACGGTTTAGTCCCGCTGGAGAGAACACACAGACTGCTGGGCTCCTCTTATTCCTGTGGAGCGAGTGAGCGGTCACGGAACAGACACCTCTTCCATCACGTGACTCATCAGACAAATGACAGGGAAAAAATTGTTCAAGTTCTCATCTCTCTCAGTCTCTGTTTCTTAGTCTCTCTGTCTCTCTCTCTCTCCCCTTTTATCCATCCTATCAGTGTTGAGATTAGAGAGCATTTGTAATAGAAATGGTGTGGTGTTGCTGTCAGGGCTGGAGAGCGATATGTAACCTGAGGCTCAATGTAGACAGCAGGCCTGGGAATCAGCCGTCCCATATAGATTGCAAAATAGTTGGGAAGAGATTTTTGACGTACCGATTCCATGGCATAGTGTTTATGAACTGATACGCAAAACGACACCGGATTCAAAACTTAGAATCTTTCAATTTAAATTATTATATAAAATTCTTGCTACCAATAGAATGTTATTTATATGGGGGATACAATCTTCCCAGCTCTGCAGATTTTGCTGCGAAGAGACAGAATCAATAGATCATTTGTTTTGGTACTGTCCATTTGTAGCTTGTTTTTGGACACAGGTCCAGGAATGGCTAAATGATTGCAATATTTACCTGGAGCTAACCCTGCAGATAGCACTACTGGGTGATCTGAAAAGTCATAGTCAATCGATCAATAACATAATTATACTATTAGCAAAAATGTTTATTTTCAATTCACAATCTGTAGAAACAATGAGAATAGAAAGGTTCAGAACTTTTGTAAGACATCCCAGTACAGTTGGAATATATATGGCAAATAGAAATCCTATATGGATGGTGTTAAAAGATAGATGGGAGGTGTTGAATAGAATTGAAGGATGGGACTAATAACAACTAACAACAAACAATAACAAGATAACTAATAATGTAGGCACGCTGTGTCCATAATAAGTGTATGGGTTGTAGGTTGGGAGCTTTTGTGAAGGAGCACAGTTAGAAAGATATGGCATATAGAAGCAAACCGGATGGACATCATGAAAATGATCGTAGAGGTTGAGAGTAGAAGAAGTTCAGGAGAAAGAACAAACAAAATGTAATTACTGTAAAATTAACTGTGTCCATAAAATGTAGATAGTGGGTATGGGCTGGAAGTAGAGGCCTAGGCGTTGTTGTTCACTAGTTTACTCCAAGTGGGGAAAGGGTGGCGGGGTTGGAAAGTAATAAAGGGGAATATATATATATTTTTAAAGGATGTGTGTGTGTGTGTGTGTGTGTGTGTGTGTATGCATATACAGTGGGGAAAAAAGTATTTAGTCAGCCACCAATTGTGCAAGTTCTCCCACTTAAAAAGATGAGAGAGGCCTGTCATTTTCATCATAGGTACACGTCAACTATGACAGACAACTTGAGAAGAAAACAATCCAGAAAATCACATTGTAGGATTTTTAATGAATTTATTTGCAAATTATGGTGGAAAATAAGTATTTGGTCACCTACAAACAAGCAAGATTTCTGGCTCTCACAGACCTGTAACTTCTTCTTTAAGAGGCTCCTCTGTCCTCCACTCGTTACCTGTATTAATGGCACCTGTTTGAAATTGTTATCAGTATAAAAGACACCTGTCCACAACCTCAAACAGTCACACTCCAAACTCCACTATGGCCAAGACCAAAGAGCTGTCAAAGGACACCAGAAACAAAATTGTAGACCTGCACCAGGCTGGGAAGACTGAATCTGCAATAGGTAAGCAGCTTGGTTTGAAGAAATCAACTGTGGGAGCAATTATTAGGAAATGGAAGATATACAAGACCACTGATAATCTCCCTCGATCTGGGGCTCCACGCAAGATCTCACCCCGTGGGGTCAAAATGATCACAAGAACGGTGAGCAAAAATCCCAGAACCACACGGGGGGACCTAGTGAATGACCTGCAGAGAGCTGGGACCAAAGTAACAAAGCCTACCATCAGTAACACACTACGCCGCCAGGGACTCAAATCCTGCAGTGCCAGACGTGTCCCCCTGCTTAAGCCAGTACATGTCCAGGCCCGTCTGAAGTTTGCTAGAGTGCATTTGGATGATCCAGAAGAGGATTGGGAGAATGTCATATGGTCAGATGAAACCAAAATATAACTTTTTGGTAAAAACTCAACTCGTCGTGTTTGGAGGACAAAGAATGCTGAGTTGCATCCAAAGAACACCATACCTACTGTGAAGCATGGGGGTGGAAACATCATGCTTTGGGGCTGTTTTTCTGCAAAGGGACCAGGACGACTGATCCGTGTAAAGGAAAGAATGAATGGGGCCATGTATCGTGAGATTTTGAGTGAAAACCTCCTTCCATCAGCAAGGGCATTGAAGATGAAACGTGGCTGGGTCTTTCAGCATGACAATGATCCCAAACACACCGCCTGGGCAACGAAGGAGTGGCTTCGTAAGAAGCATTTCAAGGTCCTGGAGTGGCCTAGCCAGTCTCCAGATCTCAACCCCATAGAAAATCTTTGGAGGGAGTTGAAAGTCCGTGTTGCCCAGCGACAGCCCCAAAACATCACTGCTCTAGAGGAGATCTGCATGGAGGAATGGGCCAAAATACCAGCAACAGTGTGTGAAAACCTTGTGAAGACTTACAGAAAACGTTTGACCTGTGTCATTGCCAACAAAGGGTATATAACAAAGTATTGAGAAACTTTTGTTATTGACCAAATACTTATTTTCCACCATAATTTGCAAATAAATTAATAAAAAATCCTACAATGTGATTTTCTGGATTTTTTTCTTCTCATTTTGTCTGTCATAGTTGACGTGTACCTATGATGAAAATTACAGGCCTCTCATCTTTTTAAGTGGGAGAACTTGCACAATTGGTGGCTGACTAAATACTTTTTTTCCCCCACTGTGTGTATGTATGTATATATACACATACATATATACACACACATATATACAGTGGGGAGAACAACTATTTGATACACTGCCGATTTTGCAGGTTTTCCTACTTACAAAGCATGTAGAGGTCTGTTATCATAGGTACACTTCAACTGTGAGAGACGGAATCTAAAACAAAAATCCAGAAAATCACATTGTATGATTTTTAAGTAAAAACTAACAGGTCTGTGAGAGCCGGAATTCTTACTGGTTGGTAGGTGATCAAATACTTATGTCATGCAATAAAATGCAAATTAATTACTTAAAAATCATACAATGTGATTTTCTGGATTTTTGTTTTAGATTCCGTCTCTCACAGTTGAAGTGTACCTATGACAAAAATTACAGACCTCTACATGCTTTGTAAGTAGGAAAACCTGCAAAATCGGCAGTGTATCAAATACTTCTTCTCCCCACTGTATATATACATACATACATGCATACATACATACATACACAAAAAAAAGCATCAGCACATATCTACTGGGACTCCATTATTCCATTATAATGTTACAGGACTGCACGGTTTAGTCCCGCTGGAGAGAACACACAGACTGCTGGGCTCCTCTTATTCCTGTGGAGCGAGTGAGCGGTCACGGAACAGACACCTCTTCCATCACGTGACTCATCAGACAAATGACAGGGAAAAAATGGTTCACGTTTTCTCATCTCTCTCAGTCTCTGTTTCTTAGTCTCTCTGTCTCTCCCCTTTTATCCATCCTATCAGTGCTGAGATTAGAGAGTATTTGTAATAGAAGTGGTGTGGTGTTGCTGTCAGGGCTGGAGAGCGATATGTAACCTGAGGCTCAATGTAGACAGCAGGCCTGGGAATCTAGCTCACTCTCCTCCTGATCAAATGTGGACATGCATCTCTCACTCACACACATGTGTGGTTCTGTATTATGTAATGCTTTATGTGGAGCCCAGGAAGAGTAACTGCAGCTTAAGCAACAGCTAATGGGGATCCTAATAAAACACACACACACACACACACTAGTGATGCGTGGGTTGACTAATAACCCGCAGTCCCCACAGTTATATCCACGGGGCGGGCGGGTGAAGGGTCATGAAATATTGTGTGGATGAAGGGCGGGCAGGTGGGTGGCGGGCGGGTGGGTGGCGGGCGGGTGGGTTGAATAAAGAGAAACAATTCTTGTGCCTATCTATAGGCTACATTGAGTTTTTTTTATCTGGCATTAGTGCCTAAGATATAGGGCCTAAGATATAGGGCCAAAGATATAGGGCCTAAGTGTATGCACGTCAAATACACGCGCCAATCTCCAAATGCTTTTGGGAAGTTGGCCAGAAAAATGTAACGTCAATCCACTGAGGCAAAAAGGACCGTGTCGGCGTTTAAGTCAATAAGACAAAAGCTGCAGAATGGATCGTTGAAAATAAGGAAAAGGCAGGGCCAGAAATGTAATGTTTGGGAAAGATTTGTAGAAGTGGTAAAAGAGGATGATAGCAGTGCTGGCTATGTAATGTGTGATTGTGAGGTGCTATACAAATTCAACAGTCACAAGACTTCACATATGGCACGTCATACCTGCAGACAGGGCAAGCCCAACGAGCCGAACCGCGTACCAGCAAGACAGGTCTCCAGCCGCAAGCCCATCTCATCTTACATGTACGCTGACAGCAAAAAGATACCACTGCAGGTGAAATACAAGTTTGTTGACGATTGTGTGGACTTTTGTTGTGTGGACTTTGACATTGTTTCGGGAAAGGGCTTCACCTCCATGGCGCAGGGACTTATTAACATTGGAGCCCGTTATGGAGCTGTCAACGCCAACTCTGTCATCCCGCACAGACAGACAGTGTGTGAAAGAGCCAAACAACAGGCTGCAACAGAGAAGGCTACACTGTCTGAGCCAATCAAAAAGGCTTTAGATGACAGTGGCATTGCCATCACCACAGACATGTGGACGGATGATTCCAACAAAAGGGCATACACCATGATTATGTGCCATTTTTTTGACATTAGATTGGCAACTGAAAAGTTGCATCATCACCAGCGTGGAGTTTGACACCTACCTGAGGAAGACAGCAGAGAACATCCACGAGCAAATCAGCAAGGAACTCAACGACTTTGGAATCTCCAAAATGGTGTTTGTGAGTGACCAGGACGCAAACATCAAGGCAGCGCTGCGTAACTACCACTGGATCCCTTGCAACTACCACTGGATCCCTTGCACAGCTCAACTACCACTGGATCCCTTGCAACTACCACTGGATCCCTTGCACAGCTCAACTACCACTGGATCCCTTGCAACTACCACTGGATCCCTTGCACAACTCAACTACCACTGGATCCCTTGCAACTACCACTGGATCCCTTGCACAGCTCAACTACCACTGGATCCCTTGCAACTACCACTGGATCCCTTGCACAGCTCATGTGCTGAACACAATCCTAAAACATACATTCCAAGAAAAGGAGGCACCAGAGTGTGTTTGTGAAGTTACTGAGCTGATGGAAGCAAGAGCAGGCTTATTCTTATTAGGTAATAGTTTTATGATTTAGACTGCTATATCCTGAATCACTAGGTAGGCCTATACTAGTAGGTTATTCGTAGACCTATTACATCCTAAGTGGTGTGACCATGCCCAATGGTCTAATAGCCAACTAATTTATTGAAAAATATTCACTTCACAGTTGGAAGCGCAAGCAACTACTCCGCAAAGAGACCAAGATTTTACTTCATGGAGTGGGAGGACGAGAGAGGCCGAAGAGATCAACGAAATCCAGAGCTACAGAAGCACTCACTTTTCCCTGGAAGATTGTGTGGATGAAAGTTTGCTTGCTTTCTGGGAGAAGCAGGAGCGTACCTTCCATCCACTCCGGTCTCTTGCAAAGAGATTTCTCTGCATTCCGGCATCATGCACATCGAGTGAACGCGACTTCAGCACTGCCGGGCCCGACTGAAACCTGGCACAGTGGACGCTATTCTGTTTCTTAACAGTGCTGCAAAAGAAAGGAAGACAACTTAGGCAATTATAGCCTCATAACTGGACAGGGGCTACTTTGATTTTCTAAACTTTGTTGTGTTATAGCCAATTTATTTTTCTAAACCTATTTTGTCATTAGATGTTTTAATTAATTAATATACCGGTATATTAGCCCACACAGGCAGTCGGCCTACAAGATGTCCATTTATTGTTTCACATTTTGTTTCCTTTGAGTAAAATGATTGGCTACTGTTCAAAAGGCCTATGCATTTTTCAATTGCTCAAGAAAAACGTAGCCTAATTGTTCAATAAATGTTTAAAGAGAACTGTGCAGTCGGCCTACAAGATGTCCAGTCATTGTTTCACATTTTGTTTCGTTTCAGCAAAAATATAGGCTACTGTTCAATAGGCGCAAGCCTTTTAAATGCTCAAGAGAAATGTAATTGTTTAATTAATTGTTTGAGAAAACAATAGAACTGTACAGCGCATTTTCGATATTTGCGGGTTAGGGTCGTGTGCAGTCCTCAGATTTTCTCTTTATCACATATAGTCGGGTGGTTGCGGATGGGTTATTATCAGTTGCAGGCGGGTGCTGGTGAACAAACAGCTGACCTTCGCATCACTAACACACACACACACACACACACACACACACACACACACACACTTTTAACTCACCGATCATGAGTGAGACTCCCAGAGTGGTGTGTCCTGTCGAGCCTACCAGGTCAGCGACACGGTTGTACACCCAGCCCATGATGTTCATGTTGACTGTGCTGCCCTGAGGGAGAGGAGACAAGCCAAAACTCACCCTGATCAGCCACATAAATAATGGCTTAAGTATGTGCTTCTGTATTTATATACAGTGTAATACTTAGCTTCCAGCGTGTCCTTACCAGCCTGGCCATGCTGAGCTGAAGACCAAACACCAGGTTGAGCTCCTTCCCTTTGAACCAGTTCACTGCATATGTGTTCTGGGCCACAGCCAGAGACTCACCTCCGATCCTACCCAGAGAGAGAGAGCACTTAGTTAGGGGGAGAGAAGTGGCTTGGAGCTGAAGCAAGGACAAGCTCGATTACAAAATATTCTTAGTCTAAAAAGCATCTTACCCAAACACAAACCGTCCAACTTCCATTAACCAGAACAGATCTAGAAGTGCCCCAACAGCAACTATAACCTGTGGAAAGAGTGGTGGAAAAAGCACTCAACTGTCATACTTGAGTAAAAGTAAAGATACCGTAATAGAAAATGACTCAATTGAAAGTCCCCCAGTATTTACTATTTGAGTAAAAAAGTCTAAAAGTATCTGGTTTTAAATGTACTTAAAGTATAGTAGGGAAATAAGTACTAAATTGTCATACTTGAGTAAAAGTTAAAGTTCTACATCAAATTTCTTATATTAAGCAAACCAGACTGCACAATTTGTATGTATGTATGTATGTACACTACCAGTCAAAAGTTTGGACACACCTACTCATTCAGGGGTTTTTCGTTATTTGTACTATTTTCTACATTGTACAGTCGTGGTCAAAAGTTGAGAATGACACAAGTATTGGTCTTCACAAAGTTCGTTGCTTCAGTGTTATGAGATATTTTTGTCAGATGTTACTATGGTATACTGAAATATAATTACAAGCATTCCATAAGTGTCAAAGGCTTTTATTGACAATTACATTAAGTTTATGCAAAGAGTCAATATTTGCAGTGTTGACCCTTCTTTTTCAAGACCTCTGCAATCCGCCCTGGCATGCTGTCAATTAACTTCTGGCCCACATCCTGACTGATGGCAGCCCATTCTTGCATAATCAATGCTTGGAGTTTGTCAGAATTTGTGGGTTTTTGTTTGTCCACCTGCCTCTTGAGGATCGACCACAAGTTCTCAATGGGATTAAGGTCTGGGGAGTTTCCTGGCCATGGACCCAAATTGTCAATGTTTTGTTCCCCGAGCCACTTAGTTATCACCTTTGCCTTATGGCAAGGTGCTCCATCATGCTGGAATAGGCATTGGTCGTCACCAAACTGTTCTTGGATGGTTGGGAGAAGTTGCTCTCGGAGGATGTGTTGGTACCATTCTTTATTCATGGCTGTGTTCTTAGGCAAAATTGTGAGTGAGCCCACTCCCTTGGCTGAGAAGCAACCCCACACATGAATGGTCTCAGGATGCTTTACTGTTGGCATGACACAGGACTGATGGTAGCGCTCACCTTGTCTTCTCCGGACAAGGTGTTTTCCGGATGCCCCAAACAATCGGAAAGGGGATTCATCAGAGAAAATGACTTTACCCCAGTCCTCAGCAGTCCAATCCCTGTACCTTTTGCAGAATATCAGTCTGTCCCTGATGTTTTTCCTGGAGAGAAGTGGCTTCTTTGCTGCCCTTCTTGACACCAGGCCATCCTCCAAAAGTCTTCGCCAAACTGTGCATGCAGATGCACTCACACCTGCCTGCTGCCATTCCTGAGCAAGCTCTGCACTGGTGGTGCCCCGATCCCGCAGCTGAAACAACTTTAGGAGACGGTCCTGGCGCTTGCTGGACTTTCTTGGGCGCCCTGATGCCTTCTTCACAACAATTGAACCTCTCTCCTTGAAGTTCTTGATGATCCAATACATGGTTGATTTAGGTACAATCTTACTAGCAGCAATATCTTTGCCTGTGAAGCCCTTTTTGTGCAAAGCAATGATGACGGCACGTGTTTCCTTGCAGGTAACCATGGTTAACAAAGGAAGACCAATGATTTCAAGCACCACCCTCCTTTTAAAGCTTCCAGGCTGTTATTCTAACTCAATCAGCATGACAGAGTGATCTCCAGCCTTGTCCTCGTCAACACTCTCACCTGTGTTAACGAAAGATATCAAAACTATGAAATAACACATATGGATTCATGTAGTAACCAAAAAAGTGTTAAATCAAAATGTATTTTATATTTGAGATTCTTCAAAGTAGCCACCCTTTGCATGATGACAGCTTTGCACACTCTTGGCATTCTCTCAACCAGCTTCATGAGGTAGTCACTTGGAATGCATTTCAATTAACAGGTATGCCTTGTTAAAAGTTAATTTGTGGAATTTCTTTCCTTCTTAATGCGCTTCAGCCAATCAGTTGTGTTGTGACAAGGTAGGGGTTGTATACAGAAGATAGGCCTATTTGGTAAAAGACCAAGTCCATATTATGGCAAAAACTGCTCAAAAAAGCAAAGAGAAACGACAGTCCATCATTACTTTAAGACATGAAGGTCAGTCAATCCGGAAAATGTTCCCACATATGCTTAGCACTTGTTGGCTGCTTTTCCTTCACTCTGCCGTCCGACTCATCCCAAAACATCTCAATTGGGTTAAGGTCGGTTGATTGTGGAGGCCAGGTCATCTGATGCAGCACTCCATCACTTTCCTTGGTCTAATAGCCCTTACACAGCCTGGAAGTGTGTTGGGTCATTGTCCTATTGAAAAACAAATGATAGTCCCACTAAGCCCAAACCAGATGGGATGGCGTATCGCTGCAGAATGCTGTGGCAGCCATGCTGGTTAAGAGTGCCTTGAATTCTAAATAAATCACAGACAGTGTCACCAGCAAAGCACCCCCACACCATAACACCTCCTCCTCCATGCTTTACGGTGGGAAATACACATGCGGAGATCATCCGTTCACTCACACTGCGTCTCACAAAGACACGGCGGTTGGAACAAAAAATCTCCAATTTGGACTCCTGACCAAAGGACACATTTCCACCGGTCTAATGTCTATTGCTCGTGTTTCTTGGCCCAAGCAGGTCTCTTTTTCTTATTGGTGTCCTTTAGTAGTGGTTTCTTTGCAGCAATTCGACCATGAAGGCCTGATTCACACAGTCCCCTCTGAACAATTGATGTTGAGATGTGTCTGTCACTTGAACTCTGTGAAGCATTTATTTGTGCTGCAATTTCTGAGGCTGGTAACTCTAATGAACTTATCCTCTGCAGCAGAGGTAACTCTGGGTCTTCCCTTTCCTATGGTGGTCCTCATGAGAGCCAGTTTCATCATAGCGCTTGACGGTTTTTGCGACCGCACTTGAAGAAACTATCAAAGTTCTTGAAATGTTCCGTATTGACTGACTTTCATGTCTTAAAGTAATGATGGACTGTCGTTTCTCTTTGCTTATTTGAGCTGTTCTTGCCATAATATGGACTTGGTCTTTTACCAAATAGGGCTATCATCTGTATACCACCCCTACCTTGTCACAACACATCTGATTGGCTCAAATGCATTAAGGAAAGAAATTCCACAAATTAACTTGTAAGAAGGCACACCTGTTAATTGAAATGCATTCCAGGTGACTACCTCATGAAGCTGGTTGAGAGAATGCCAAAAGTGTGCAAAGCTGTCATCAAGGCTTTGTTGGTTACTAGATGATTCCATATGTGTTATTTCATAGTTTTGATGTCTTCACTATTATTCAACAATGTAAAAAATAGTAAAAATAAAGGAAAACCCTTGAATGAGTAGGTGTGTCCAAACTTTTGACTGGTAGTGTACACACACACACAAATTGTGCCGTATTTAGACAGCCAGGGGCACACTCCAACACCCAGACATAATTTACAAACACAGTATTTGTGTTTAGTGAGTCCGCCAGATCAGAGGCAGTAGGGATGACAACAAGTTATATTGACAGGTGCGTGAATTGGACCATATTGCTGTACTGCCTGAGCATTCGAAATGTAAACAAATACTTTTGGGTGTCAGAGGAAATGTATGGGTGTAAAAAGTACATATTTTCTTTAGGAATGTAGTGGAGTACAAGTAAAGTACAGATACCCCAAAAAACTACTTCAGTACTTTAAAGTATTTTACATAAGTACATTACACCACTGGAGATAGACCAATTAAATTTGTACTACATACATTATTTAGAAGTAGAGCAGCTCTCAAATACATCTCCATAATGTGGTGTGTACCTACCTGTCCAACGCAGACAAACAAGGCGAAGATTATCGTTCCTAGCCTACCAGGAGAGGAGAAGCACAGCGACAGAAACGATGTTTACAGGGGATAATATGAAGTGAATATGAGCATGTTGTCACATGCTGTCACAGTCACTAGCCCATTTAAGCTTAACATCCTTGTCATTTATCGCCCTCCAGGTTCCCTTGGAGAGTTCATCAATTCCTGAGGATGGCTTACCCCTCACAGTTCTGGGGGACTTCAACCTCCCTATGTCTACCTTTGACTCATTTCTCTCTGCCTCCTTCTTTCCACTCCTCTCCTCTTTTGACCTCACCCTCTCACCGTCCCCCCCTACTCACAAGGCAGGCAATACGCTTGACCTCATCTTTACTAGACGCTGTTCTTCTACTAATCTCACTGCAACTCCCCTCCATGTCTCCGACCACTACTTTGTATCCTTTTCTCTCTCGCTCTCCTCCAACACTACTCACTCTGCCCCTACTCAGATGGTAATGCGCCGTCGCAACCTTCGCTCTCTCTCTCCCGCTACTCTCTCCTCTTCCATCCTATCATCTATTCCCTCTGCTCAATCCTTCTCCCTCCAATCTCCTGATTCTGCCTCCTCAACCCTCCTCTCCTCCCTTTCTGCATCCTTTGACTCTCTATGTCCCCTATTCTCCCGGCCGGCTCGGTCCTCCCCTCCAGCTCCGTGGCTTAACGACTCATTGCGAGCTCACAGAACAGGGCTCCGGGCAGCCGAGCGGAAATGGAGGAAAACTACACTCCCTGCGGACCTGGCATATTTTCACTCCCTCCTCTCTACATTTTCTTCATCTGTTTCTGCTGCTAAGGCCACTTTCTACCACTCTAAATTCTAAGCATCTGCCTCTAACCCTAGGAAGCCCTTTGCCACCTTCTCCTCCCTGCTGAATCCTCCTAACCCCCCCCCCCCCCCCTTTCTGTGGATGACTTCGTCAACCATTTTGAAAAGAAGGTTGACGACATCCGATCCTCATTTGTTAAGTCAAATGACACTGCTGGTCCTGCTCACACAGCCCTACCCTATGCTTTGACTTCTTTCTCCCCTCTCTCTCCAGATAAAATATTGCGACTTGTGACGGCCGTCCGCCCAACAACCTGCCCGCTTGACCCTTTCTCCTCCTCTCTTCTCCAGACCATCTACGGTGACCTTCTCCCTTACCTCACCTCGCTGATCAACTCATCCTTGACCGCTGGCTATGTCCCTTCCGTCTTCAAGAGAGCAAGAGTTGCACCCCTTCTCAAAAAACCAACACTCGATCCCTCTGATGTCAACAACTACAGACCAGTATCCCTTCTTTCTTTTCTCTCCAAAACTCTTGAGCGTGCCGTCTTTAGCCAACTCTCTTGCTATCTCTCTCAGAATGACCTTCTTGATCCAAACCAGTCAGGTTTCAAGACTGGTCATTCAACTGAGACTGCTCTTCTCTGTGTCACGGAGGCTCTCTGCACTGCTAAAGCTAACTCTCTCTCCTCTGCTCTTGTCCTTCTAGACCTGTCTGCTGCCTTTGATACTGTGAACCATCAGATCCTCCTCTCCACCCTCTCCGAGCTGGGCATCTCCGGCGCAGCTCACTCTTGGATTGCGTCCTACCTGACCGGTCGCTCCTACCAAGTGGCGTGGCAAGAAGCTGTCTCCGCACCACGTGCTCTCACCACTGGTGTCCCCCAGGGCTCAGTTCTAGGCCCTCTCCTATTCTCGCTATACACCAAGTCACTTGGCTCTGTTATATCCTCACATGGCCTCTCCTATCATTGCTACGCAGACGACACACAATTAATCTTCTCCTTTCCCCCTTCTGATAACCAGGTGGCGAATCGCATCTCTGCATGTCTGGCAGACATATCAGTATGGATGACGGATCACCACCTCAAGCTGAACCTTGGCAAGACGGAGCTGCTCTTCCTCCCGGGGAAGGACTGCCCGTTCCATGATCTCACCATCACGGTTGACAACTCAGTTGTGTCCTCCTCCCAGAGTGCGAAGAGCCTTGGCGTGACCCTGGACAACACCCTGTCGTTCTCCGCTAACATCAAGGCAGTGACCCGATCCTGTAGGTTCATGCTCTACAACATTCGGAGAGTACGACTCTGCCTTACACAGGAAGCAGCACAGGTCCTAACCCAGGCACTTGTCATCTCCCATCTGGATTACTGCAACTCACTGTTGGCTGGGCTCCCTGCCTGTGCCATTAAACCCCTACAACTCATCCAGAATGCCGCAGCCCAACTGGTGTTCAACCTTCCCAAGTTCTCTCACGTCACCCTGGATTGGACTATATTTGCCCATTATTCTTAAAAAAATTATTCAAGCTCTGTCAAGTTAGTTGTTGATCATACAGTATCTAGACAGACATTTTCATGTCTTGCCATTGGTTTTCATACCGATTTAAGTTAAAACTGTAACTAGGCGACTCAGGAACATTCAATGTCGTCTTGGTAAGCAACTCCAGGGTAGCCTTGTGTTTTAGGTTATTGTCCTGCTGAAAGGTAAATTTGTCTCCCAGTGTCTGTTGGAAAGCAGACTGAACCAGGTTTTCCTCTAGGATTTTGCCTGTGCTTAGCTGTATTCCGTTTTTTTTAATCCTAGAAAAACTCCCTAGTCCTTGCCGATGACAACCATACTCATAAACATGATGCAGTCACCACCATGCTTTAAAATATGAAGAGTGATACTCAGTGATGTGTTGTGTTGGATTTTCCCAAAACATAACGCTTTGCATTCAGGACAAAAAGTTCATTTCTTTGCTAAAAAAATGTCAATATAACTTAAGTGCCTTGTTGCAAACAGGATGCATGTTTTGGAATATTTTATTCTCTACAGGCTTCCTTCTTTTCACTCTGTCATTTAGGTTTGTATTGTGGAGTAACTACAGTGTTGTTGATCCATCCTCAGTTATTACATTTACATTTTAGTCATTTAGCAGACGCTCTTATCCAGAGCGACTTACAGTTAGTGAACACATATTATTTTTTTTAATACTGGCCCCCCGTGGGAAACGAACCCACAACCCTGGCGTTGCAAACGCCATGCTCTATCAACTGAGCTACATCCCTGCCGGCCATTCCCTCCCCTACCCTGGACGACGCTGGGCCAATTGTGCGCCGCCCATGAGTCTCCCGGTCGCGGCCGGCTGCGACAGAGCCTGGATTCGAACCAGGATCTCTAGTGGCACAGTTAGCACTGCGATGCAGTGCCTTAGACCACTGCGCCACTCAGGACTCAGGATGCCTTAGACCACTGCGCCACTAGTTCATCATAGATTCAGATTAATCCTCCACACACAATTACCTCAGCATCTTTTGTTGTCAGAGATTCATGGTGAGACTAGGGATTTCCTACTAGAGCACTGGAAGACAAACACTGCTCATATTACAGTAGGTACACAGGCTGTATTGTACATGGAGTAGTGTGTGAGGAAAAACACACCTCCAACAGGAATCCGCACCAGGGTGATTACAGAATCCTTATCATATTATACAAATGTGACGTATAAGGTCCCTAGTGTGTAAACCTCACCTTATCTATGTATTGTACACATACAGTTTCTGCTCTGAGCAGCACAGCACCATACATGAGTTGTGTGACTGTAACCAGGTTGTCACTGGAGGTAAGAGGTTAAATACTATGTCTGCGCCTGTACAAAACTGTTGTCCTTGGATGGCGATAAACAAGTATTCCATGTAGGGAACATGTGCTAGTACAGTAGTGTTTCATTAGTAACCTGTGGTCCTACCTGATGCCAAAGACCCTGTCGAGCAGGAAGCCCCCCAGGAAACAGAGGACCACGTTGGGCCAGGAGTACCAGGCATAGAGCTGCATGAACATGGACGTGTTCAGCTTCATGTCCTGGTGCAGACCAGAGAGGAGAGAGAATGTCAGTGCATTGGAAGCCCAAATTACTAGAAAGGTATCTTTAAGAAAGCAAAACAAAGGCAGATAAACATTAATATGAACTGTGAGTGCATGGACCAACCATACACTAACTATGACCTGATATTGGTCTGTTGTTTACATTATTAGAAAACCTTTGAGCACAATGTTAACAGAGAAACTTAGCAATCCTAGTTCTAATGGGCCATTTCATTGTTAGTGCCGACTGAACACCAAAGATATGACACATTGCTTTGTTTCACTTATCTGCAAACTTACAACATCATGGTGGTGTCATGAAGAGTCAACATACTTATCCATATAATTAGAACGTGTCCATAGAGTTATAATAACTATAATGTATTTTGTGAAGTTATTTCCCATATTGAAGCATCGGAGGAAGGCTCTGACATAGAGCAGGCTAGGCTACAATGACGACGGAGTGACATGACGGTGTCGTCGGTCGCATGACACCAAAGTTATGCATGTGAGACGGAAACTTCAGTCCTCCTTCCTCACCTGTATGACTTGAGTCTGCAAAGCAGCGGGGTTATCATAACAGAAGTAACTTCCTGAAACAAAGTAACGCTGTCAGTGGATAGAATTGATACATCAAAGTGCCGCTACATTCTAAACCTGCTCTGATTTGATTGATACAGTCATAGAAGGCTACAGCATGGTGAAAGATAATCAAACTAACAACGATTCAACGTTGTCTGATATCCAAAAGCAATTAGTCCGATAGTCAGTTAGCTGAAGCCTAAACTCTCTCCAAATAATTTTGATGGAACCGCCCTGCTCACCGAATCCCAGAAAGCACATAAAAAGCAGGACGAAAATGCGATGAAGCACTCGTCTCGGGTCACAGAGTGCGGACATCGGTCTGACCGGTCCGCTTTCATTTCTAGGACCTGAAGAAGAGATATCCCCTTCCTCGTCCAAAAGGTTCTGTCGCTCTTCCGCCATCTTCGTCTGTGTTTTGGAATGGAAGGGAAAAGGTTAATAGGGCGCAGACAGTCATATGACCTACTGCTCCATGTGACTCGGCTCCAGCTGAGCGCGGCAGTAAGAAGTGCAAAAGAGTTCAGTAACAAGCGAATGACCATAAAGGGGTAAATATCTGAACCTAACATATTCTATTTTCGAATATTCAATACAATGGTAATTACCTAGGCGGGTCATTCATATTCAGAGAATATATCACAAATATCATACATTTACTTGACAATAGATATAGCTTTATAGGCTTAGGGGTGATCTCGGTGCTCTTGTCAACAATCTACACAAAATAGTCTGTAATGTCAAAGTGGAAGACAAATAATAACATTTGTAAAAAATATTTTTAAAATACATAATATATCTTGATTAGAAAATAATTCAAACCCCTGAGTCAATACATGTTAGAATCACCTTTTGCAGTGATTACAGATGTGAGCCTTTCTGGGTAAGTCTAAGAGCTTCATGCAACATTTGTCAGTTATCTTTTCAAAATTCTTCAAGTTCTGTCAAATTGGTTGTTTATCATTGCTAGACAATTTCAGACCATTTCAGGTCTGTCCATAGATTTTCAAGCAGATGTAAGTCAGAACTGTAACTCGGCCACTCCGGAACATTCACTGTCTTTTTGGTAAGCAACTCCAGCTTAGATTTGGCCTTGTTCTTTAGGTTATTGTCCTGCTGAAATGTCCTGCTGAAAGGTGAATTCATCTCCCAGTGTCTGGTCGAAAGCAGACTGAACCAGGTTTTCCTCTAGGATTTTGCCTGTGATTAGCTCCATTCCGTTTCTTTTTTCATCCTGAAAAACTCCCCAGTCTTTAACGATTACAAGCATACCCATATCATGATGCAGCCACCACTATGCTTGAAAATATGGAGTGTGGTACTCAGTAATGTGTTGTATTGGATTTGCCCCAAACATAACACTGTATTCAGGACATAAAGTTAATGGTTTTGCCAAATTTTTTGCAGTTTTACTTTAGTGCCTTGATACAAACAGGATGCATGTTTTGGAATATTTTTATTCTGCTGTACAGGCTTCCTTCTTTTCACTCTGTCAATTAGGTTTGTATTGTGGAGTAACTACAATGTTTCAATTCTGTAACTGTTTTAAAGTCACCATTGGCCTAATATTTAGGCTTGCCTTTCATTTAAGTAATTTGTAAAAATGTCTAAATTCATAATTCCACTTTGACATGATGGGGTAGGCCAGTGACACAAAATCTTAATTTAATTCATTTTAAATTCTGGCTGTAACACAACAAAATGTGGAAAAAGTCAAGGGGTGTGAATACTTTCTGAAGGCACTGTATTTTACCTATCAGCTAACCACATATGTTACAGCAATCTGTCAGTCGATGACACAGTCGCTGACGTGGCACGCAACCATTGGTTGATGCATGCAATGTCTGAGCAGGGGAACGTGACAAATGTGATGACTGCAAAATGCAGCAGATCTATGATGTCATAGTGACAAACCCTATAGGACGCGTGAGACTGTCTGGACAGACTGTCAGACTCACTTTCTGTGGGTCTCCAACGGTAAGTGGCAAGAGATCTATTATCAATGGCATTAACTTGGAAACAATGTAATTCACGATAGATGAGTTTAGCTTCTTGGCTTAGCCTCATGTATGTCCTCTGATTTTATTTTATTGATCAAGGTGAGTTTAGGTTGTAACTATGGTAAGTGTGGGATTCAGCTAGGCCTATACATAAGTAAAGTGCTGGTAAGCTTTGGGGAAGTGTGTTTTGTTTCTCTGTCTCTATCTTACAGAGCCCCCAGCAGCAGGAGCCCAGAGGAGTGAAGTTGTAGTAGTAGCCTGCTGACCATCCTGACATCTTCAGGGACTACTGACTAGCTACAACTGAACGCTGATGAGTAACATTAGAAAAAGTGGACAAAAGCTGGTAAGCTTTGGAGAAGTATGTTTTGTTTCTCTGTCTGTATCCTACAGAGCAGCCAGCAGCAGGAGCCAAGGAGTTGGAGTTGTAGTCACTGCTGGCACCACCATGGCATCATTAGGGGCTAGCTACAACTCCTCTCTGATGAGTAAGGTAAGTATTGCACATGACTAACACCACCACCATGGCATCGCCAGGGACAACAACTCATCGCTGCAGATTGTGGAAGAAGACAAAGAAGACAAAACACTTTGCACCACTAGCAGTCAAATATATACTGTATACGTGTGCACGTGTGTGTGTGTGTGTGTGTGTGGTAGACATACACTGCTCAAAAAAATAAAGGGAACACTTAAACAACACAATGTAACTCCAAGTCAATCACACTTCTGTGAAATCAAACTGTCCACTTAGGAAGCAACACTGATTGACAATACATTTCACATGCTGTTGTGCAAATGGTATAGACAACAGGTGGAAATTATAGGCAATTAGCAAGACACCCCCAATAAAGGACTGGTTTTGCAGGTGGTGACCACAGACCACTTCTCAGTTCCTATGCTTCCTGGCTGATGTTTTGGTCACTTTTGAATGCTGGCGGTGCTTCCACTCCAGTGGTAGCATGAGACGGAGTCTACAACCCACACAAGTGGCTCAGGTAGTGCAGCTCATCCAGGATGGCACATCAATGCGAGCTGTGGCAAGAAGGTTTGCTGTGTCTGTCAGCGTAGTGTCCAGAGCATGGAGGCGCTACCAGGAGACAGGCCAGTACATCAGGAGACGTGGAGGAGGCCGTAGGAGGGCAACAACCCAGCAGCAGGACTGCTACCTCCGCCTTTGTGCAAGGAGGAGCAGGAGGAGCACTGCCAGAGCCCTGCAAAATGACCTCCAGCAGGCCACAAATGTGCATGTGTCTGCTCAAACGGTCAGCAACAGACTCCATGAGGGTGGTATGAGGGCCCGACGTCCACAGGTGGGGGTTGTGCTTACAGCCCAACACCGTGCAGGACGTTTGAACACCAAGATTGGCAAATTCGCCACTGGCCACTCTTATACAGATGAAAGCAGGTTCACACTGAGCACGTGACAGACGTGACAGAGTCTGGAGTGTCACGCCCTGACTCAGGGGACTCTTATATGTTGAGTCAGGGTGTGTATATTCCTTGTTGTGCTTGTTCTATGTATGAGGATCTAGGATGTCTAGTTCTATGTTGGCCGGTGTGGTTCCCAATCAGAGGCAGCTGTCGCTCGTTGTCTCTGATTGGGGACCATACTTAGGCAGCCTATTGGCACTGTCTAGTTGTGGGATCTTGTTCCGGTTAAGGTTTGTTGTATCTACCTTAGGACTTCACGTTTCGTTTCGTTTATTGTTTTGTCGTGTGTTTAAGTTTAATAAACATGTACGTATATCACGCTGCGCCTTGGTCTGACCCGTCATTCAACGAACGTGACATGGAGACGCCGTGGAGAACGTTCTGCTGCCTGCAACATCCTCCAGCATGACTGGTTTGGCGGTGGGTCAGTCAAGGTGTGGGGTGGCATTTCTTTGGGGGGCCGCACAGCCCTCCATGTGCTCGCCAGAGGTAGCCTGACTGCCATTAGGTACCGAGATGAGATCCTCAGACCCCTTGTGAGACCATATGCTGGTGCGGTTGGCCCTGGGTTCCTCCTAATGCAAGACAATGCTAGACCTCATGTGGCTGGAGTGTGTCAGCAGTTCCTGCAAGAGGAAGGCATTGATGCTATGGACCGCCCGTTCCCCAGACCTGAATCCAATTGAGCACATCTGGGACATCATGTCTCGCTCCATCCACCAACGCCACGTTGCACCACAGACTGTCCAGGAGTTGGCGGATGCTTTAGTCCAGGTCTGGGAGGAGATCCCTCAGGAGACCATCCGCCACCTCATCAGGAGCATGCCCAGGCGTTGTAGGGAGGTCATACAGGCACGTGGAGGCCACACACACTACTGAGCCTCATTTTGACTTGTTTTAAGGACATTACATCAAAGTTGGATCAGCCTGTAGTGTGGTTTTCCACTTTAATTTTGAGGGTTACTCCAAATCCAGACCTCCATGGGTTGATAAATTTGATTTCCATTGATCATTTGTGTGATTTTGTTGTCAGCACATTCAACTATGTAAAGAAAAAAGTATTTAATAAGATTATTTCATTCATTCAGATCTAGGATGTGTTATTTTAGTGTTCCCTTAATTTTTTTGAGCAGTGTACATCACAGGCAGACACTTGTACACTTCTACAAAGTGAGTAACATTCCTCATGGGACTGCAAGCATGCCCTGATACAATGGGGTCAGGACCCTCATGAAATCATAGGCCCACTCACTTACTGTAATCACGTGCATTTTCACCCCTAGCTCATATCTCCTCTGAGTACACTACAGTATCTCCGGGGTTTATGCAATTTCCATGAATGTCATTTAACATTTCCCATAATTCACTTCTGCAGGGTCATCTGCCAGAGAATTTAATCTGAGGGTGAAGAATGGCTCTACTCACCGCTCTAACGGCATTGTAGCTCATTAATTTCCTGCCCAAATACCAGGCCTTGTTGCTAGCAAGGGAGGGAGATCATACTTGATTTATATTAATCAGACGCGCATGCAGATGCGACAGTAAATCAGGTCGGAGGTGTCATAAATCTCCACGGCCATTTTTCGACTCTCCAGAAACCTGACTCAGAGGTGGCGCCAGAAAAGCCAATATATTTGCACTGCGGAATATCTTTTTTCTCATCTGACTCAATAAAAAAATGTATCTGACAATAGGGCGGTATGATTATTATTATGAATAATACATCCCTGCCAGCCTCTCTGGGTGTCGCCGGTCAAAGGCCCTTCAGTTCAGATTTCACTGCTACCTAATCCCCATCAGAGCAGTGTGCCTGGTACACCCTGTGTCTTCAGTGTCTCTTACCCAGCAGTGATTGATTATAATACATCCTAATCTGTTGTTACAGCATCACACATGGAGATCCATCATACCCCAGCCCCACTGTCTCAGAGTTTGGAGCTCAATGTTGCTGGAGACAACAGTTGCCCTAGTCCATTCATAGATGGTAGGCTAATGCTGGCGCCTTAACCGTCTGTTCACGTCTATCTGT